TGACCATAGCAGACCTAGTCACTGTGTATGAGACTAGAGAAGACATTGACCATAGCAGACCTAGTCACTGTGTATGAGACTAGAGAAGACATTGACCATAGCAGACCTAGTCACTGTGTATGAGAGAAGACATTGACCATAACAGACCTAGTCACTGTGTATGAGACTAGAGAAGACATTGACCATAGCAGACCTAGTCACTGTGTATGAGACTAGAGAAGACATTGACCATAGCAGACCTAGTCACTGTGTATGAGACTAGAGAAGACATTGACCATAGCAGACCTAGTCACTGTGTATGAGACTAGAGAAGAACATGACCATAGCAGACCTAGTCACTGTGTATGAGACTAGAGAAGACATTGACCATAGCAGACCTAGTCACTGTGTATGAGACTAGAGAAGACATTGACCATAGCAGACCTAGTCACTGTGTATGAGACTAGAGAAGACATTGACCATAGCAGACCTAGTCACGGGTATGATACTAGAGAAGACTTGACCATGCAGACCTAGTCACTGTGTATGAGAGAAGACATTGACCATAGCAGACCTAGTCACTGTGTATGAGAGAAGACATTGACCATAGCAGACCTAGTCACTGTGTATGAGAGAAGACATTGACCATAGCAGACCTAGTCACTGTGTATGAGAGAGAGACATTGACCATAGCAGACCTAGTCACTGTGTATGAGACTAGAGAAGACATTGACCATAGCAGACCTAGTCACTGTGTATGAGACTAGAGAAGACATTGACCATAGCAGACCTAGTCACTCTGTATGAGACTAGAGAAGACATTGACCATAGCAGACCTAGTCACTGTATGAGACTAGAGAACGACATTGACCATAGCAGACCTAGTCACTGTGTATGAGATGAAGACATTGACCATAGCAGACCTAGTCACTGGTATGAGATAGAAGACATTGACCATAGCAGACCTAGTCACTGTGTATGAGACTAGAGAAGACATTGACCATAGCAGACCTAGTCAACTGGTATGAGACTAGAGAAGACATTGACCATAGCAGACCTAGTCACTGTGTATGAGACTAGAGAAGACATTGACCATAGCAGACCTAGTCACTGTGTATGAGACTAGAGAAGACATTGACCATAGCAGACCTAGTCACTGTGTATGAGACTAGAGAAGTGGTGTCTGAGGAGACAGGAGATTCTGTGGTGTCTGAGGAGACAGGAGTTTCTGTGGTGTATGAGGAGACAGGAGATTATGTGGTGTATGAGGAGACAGGAGATGATTATGTGGTGTATGTTGTCTGGGGAGACAGGAGATTATGTGGTGTATGAGGAGACAGGAGATTCTGTGGTGTCTGAGGAGACAGGAGATTATGTGGTGTATGAGGAGACAGGAGATTCTGTGGTGTCTGAGGAGACAGGAGATTATGTGGTGTATGAGGAGACAGGAGATTCTGTGGTGTCTGAGGAGACAGGAGATTATGTGGTGTATGAGGAGACAGGAGATTCTGTGGTGTCTGAGGAGACAGGAGATTCTGTGGTGTCTGTTGTCTGAGGAGACAGGAGATTATGTGGTGTCTGAGGAGACAGGAGATTCTGTGGTGTCTGTTGTCTGAGGAGACAGGAGATTCTGTGGTGTATGTTGTCTGAGGAGACAGGAGATTATGTGGTGTCTGAGGAGACAGGAGATTATGTGGTGTCTGAGGAGACAGGAGATGATTCTGTGGTGTCTGTTGTCAGAGCAGATGGGAGGTGATGTTGGTCTCTGGCGCCCCCGTGTGGCAGAAAGGTGAACTGCGGTGGCACTGTTGTTCCGGGCTGTTTCTGTCGCCGTCTTTTGTTTACACCTTCGGTTCCCCAAACGGCTTGACGACGTTCCTACCGCCAACACACGGTTACAACACATCGATCTCCCGTCGGCGCGCTAACTAAACTCAGGGAAAGGGAAATTGCTTTGGATAATTGTTTTGTTGTTATCCTGCAACAGTAACGTGACGGGCTTCAGTTGTTAAAAACAGATTAATCCTCAGAGTCCGTTCATAGTTAAAAAAACAGTGATGGAATTTAAGGATTTTGGGCACTGGGCATCCGGGCTATTAGACCGCAATTCATACTAGCCTGGGCAACATTCAGGTCCAAAATATGTGCCATGCAATATTTGAAAACACATTTTTACTGGCAACCGGGCTAGTTTGGTACATTTACTACTAGCCTGGTCTGATCAGTACTATCCCCAGGCTGCTTTGGTACATTTACTACTAGCCTGGTTGAGCAGTACTATCCCCGGGCTAGTTTGGTTACATTTACTACTAGCCTGGTCTGATCAGTAACTATACCCCGGGCTCGCTTGGCTACATTTACTACTAGCCTGGTTGATCAGTCCTATCCCCGGGCTAGTTTGGTACCATTTAGCTACTAGGCCTGGGCAGATACTATCACCGGGCTAGTTTGTGGTAACATTGACTACTAGCCTGGTCTGATCAGTAACTATCCACGGGCTAGTTGGTTGTACATTTACTACTAGCCTGGTATGATCAGTTACTATCCCGGGGCTAGCTTTGGTACATTTACTACTAGCCTGAGCAGCAGTACTATCCCCGGGCTAGTTTTGGTACATTACTACTAGCCTGGAGCAGTACTATCCCCGGGCTAGTTTGGTACATTTACTACTAGCCTGGAGTCAGTACTATCCCCGGGCTAGTTGGTACATTTACTACTAGCCTGGAGCAGTACTATCCCGGGCTAGTTTGGTACATTTACTACTAGCCTGGAGCAGTACTATCCCCGGGCTAGTTTGGTACATTTACTACTAGCCTGGAGCAGTACTATCCCCGGGCTAGTTTGGTACATTTACTACTAGCCTGGAGCAGTACTATCCCCGGGCTAGCTTGGTACATTTACTACTAGCCTGGAGCAGTACTATCCCCGGGCTAGTTTGGTACATTTACTACTAGCCTGGAGCAGTACTATCCCCGGGCTAGTTTGGTACATTTACTACTAGCCTGGAGCAGTACTATCCCCGGGCTAGTTTGGTACATTTACTACTAGCCTGGAGCAGTACTATCCCCGGGCTGGTTGGTACATTTACTACTAGCCTGGAGCAGTACTATCCCCGGGCTAGTTTGGTACATTTACTACTAGCCTGGTCTGATCAGTACTATCCCCCGGGCTAGCTTGGTACATTTACTACTAGCCTGGAGCAGTACTATCCCCGGGCTAGTTTGGTACATTTACTACTAGCCTGGTCTGATCAGTACTATCCCCGGGCTAGTTTGGTACATTTACTACTAGCCTGGAGCAGTACTATCCCCGGGCTAGTTTGGTACATTTACTACTAGCCTGGTCTGATCAGTACTATCCCCGGGCTAGTTTGGTACATTTACTACTAGCCTGGAGCAGTACTATCCCCGGGCTAGCTTGGTACATTTACTACTAGCCTGGAGCAGTACTATCCCCGGGCTAGTTTGGTACATTTACTACTAGCCTGGAGCAGTACTATCCCCGGGCTAGTTTGGTACATTTACTACTAGCCTGGAGCAGTACTATCCCCCGGGCTAGCTTGGTACATTTACTACTAGCCTGGAGCAGTACTATCCCCGGGCTAGTTTGGTACATTTACTACTAGCCTGGAGCAGTACTATCCCCGGGCTAGTTGGTACATTTACTACTAGCCTGGAGCAGTACTATCCCCGGGCTAGTTTGGTACATTTACTACTAGCCTGGGACAGTACTATCCCCGGGCTAGTTGGTACATTTACTACTAGCCTGGAGCAGTACTATCCCGGGCTAGTTTGGTACATTTACTACTAGCCTGGTGTCAGTACTATCCCGGGCTAGTTTGGTACATTTACTACTAGCCTGGAGCAGTACTATCCCCGGGCTAGTTGGTACATTTACTACTAGCCTGGAGCAGTACTATCCCGGGCTAGTTTGGTACATTTACTACTAGCCTGGAGCAGTACTATCCCCGGGCTAGTTGGTACATTTACTATACTAGCGTATCCCGGGCAGTTGGTATTTAAAGCCGACATCAGTACTATCCCAGGGCTAGTCTTCGGTACATTTACTACTAGCCTGGCTGCAGTACTATCCCCGGGCTAGTTTGGTACATTTACTACTAGCCTGGAGCAGTACTATCCCCGGGCTAGTTTGGTACATTTACTACTAGCCTGGTCTGATCAGTACTATCCCCGGGCTAGTTTGGTACATTTACTACTAGCCTGGAGCAGTACTATCCCCGGGCTAGTTTGGTACATTTACTACTAGCCTGGAGCAGTACTATCCCCGGGCTAGTTTGGTACATTTACTACTAGCCTGGTCTGATCAGTACTATCCCCGGGCTAGCTTAAAATGTTCATCCCTGGTTAAAAAGACAAACATTAAAACTGTTAATAGTTAAAAGCTTGTTTTGTTTAATGCCAGAATCATTATTTTACATTAACAATTCAATGGTTTTGCATTTCTTCTTTTTTTTTTTTTTTACAATATGTACCACATGTATGTCTGCATCATACAATAGCAGCACCTAGTTGTCATAATGTATATACACAGTAGATAGATAGAGAGGAAGAACTAGGGGTTAAAGGTTATAGAGAAGAGACAGGAAGAGCTATGGGGGGGGTTGCTTTATAAAACAAAACAGAAATATACATGAATCCAGTCAGGATTGTGCGGAACGAACACACACACAGGCTTGCACACACACACAGCCACACGTGCTTGCGGACACACACCCCAGCACCTCCCGCTGTGCCAGAGATAGCAGCTTCCTCAAAAGACAAGTCACACACACACACACTTAGTGACAGTTCTGTCAAACACGCATCGAGAGACAGACACAGGCGCTTGAGAGGGGCTACTAAAACATGAAGGCTTCTAGGCCTCAGGACCCGAACAGAACCCCCCCCCCCCCGAACACTCTTTAATACACCCCTAGTAACAGGGGGGTGAGGCAGGTCTGTCCCAATCTCCCCACCAGCCCACCACTCAGAACACACGGCCAATACATAGTTTCATCCCAGGGGTCTAGACAGGCTGCTAGTGAGCTACCAGCACAGTCATTACAAGTCCTTGTCATGCCAAACATGAGGGAGGGAACACAGGAAGAAGGGATGACAGAGGGAGGAGGGATGACAGATGACAGAGGGAGGAGGGATGAGGGGAGGAGGGATGACAGAGGGAGGAGGGATGACAGAGGGAGGAGGGATGACAGAGGGATGACAGAGGGAGGAGGGATGACAGATGACAGAGGAGGAGGGATGACAGAGGGAGGAGGGATGACAGAGAGAGGAGGGAGGAGGGATGACAGAGGGAGGAGGGATGACAGATGGAGGAGGGATGACAGAGGGAGGAGGGATGACAGATGACAGAGAGAGGAGGGATGACAGAGGGAGGAGGGATGACAGAGGGAGGACAGAGAGAGGAGGGATGACAGATGACAGAGGGAGGAGGGATGAGTGCCTTTTTTTCCATTTACATGTTTCTTTATTTGGAAGCAACACAGAGGGGGAGGGGCCAGGTTGGGAGGGGTTGATTGGCCGGCCGGTGCATCAGTCATCATCCAATCAGCTCGGCCCCGCGACTGTGAAGAAAAATATCTAGTGTGCGTTTTGTGTGTAATTTGTGTGCGTGAGCGTGTGTGAAATGTGTCTGAGCGTGTGTGTATGAGTCGGTGTGCATGTGTGATATCCGGGATACTCAGAGCATCCGGTTGCGTTTATGGGTGGGCGAGTCTGTGATGACATCACTGCACTGGGCAGATGCCCTCTTCCTATTGGCTGCAGCGGTTGCCGCCGCGTTCTCCAAATGGAGCGCCATCTCCTCGGCGATGAAGGTGTTCAGGTCGACGTCGTGGAGACCGTTCCTACGGTTACGACCCAGCTGCGGAGCGACGGGGCTGTCGCGTGTTAGGTGCGTCGGGGAGCCGGGGGCACCGGAACGCACGGATATACTGGCCATCGCCCCACTCAGGCCTGGAGGGGAATTACAACAATATTAATAATAATATTATTATTATACAGGTTTTAGAGACATACTCAGGCCTGGAGGAGAATTACAACACAGGTGTCAGTAAAAATCAAGCAGTGTCTATACACATCTACCCAGAGACTGAAAGATTAGAGGGAGAGCTGGGTGAGATAGGGGGGGAGAATCCCAATTGCATTTAATTAATCAGTTCCGTGGTTGCCATGGCGCCGTGAAGAAGGCAGAGAGCTCCTGTACATTGTTTTAAGTATTTTTATTTTACGTTTTTTTTGGGGGGGAGACTTCTTTAGTGTTTCTGAGCTACAATATCTGGTGGTTTTGACCCATGGAGTTGCTGAACTAATGGCAAGTCAGCTTGGCTAGGTAGTTAGCTGAACTAATGGCAAGTCAGTTTGTTTGGCTTGGCAGTTAGCTGGACTAATGGCAAGACTCTACACACAAGCACGCACATAGAATCATAATTTATGCTGCTGTTACTCATTTTATCATATATCCTAGTCACCTGACCTATATATATATATATATATACACACACATACATACAGTGGGGCAAAAAAGTATTTAGTCAGCCACCAATTGTGCAAGTTCTCCCACTTAAAAAGATGAGAGGCCTGTAAATTTCATCATAGGTACACGTCAACTATGACAGACAAAATGAGAAAAAAAAATCCAGAAAATCACTTTGTAGGATTTTTTATGAATTTATTTGCAAATTATGGTGGAAAATAAGTATTTGGTCAATAACAAAAGTTTCTCAATACTTTGTTATATACCCTTTGTTGGCAATGACACAGGTCAAATGTTTTCTGTATGTCTTCACAAGGTTTTCATACACTGTTGCTGGTATTTTGGCCCATTCCTCCATGCAGATCTCCTCTAGAGCAGTGATGTTTTGGGGCTGTCGCTGGGCAACACGGACTTTCAACTCCCTCCAAAGATTTTCTATGGGGTTGAGATCTGGAGACTGGCTAGGCCACTCCAGGACCTTGAAATGCTTCTTACGAAGCCACTCCTTCGTTGCCCGGGCGGTGTGTTTGGGATCATTGTCATGCTGAAAGACCCAGCCACGTTTCATCTTCAATGCCCTTGCTGATGGAAGGAGGTTTTCACTCAAAATCTCACGATACATGGCCCCATTCATTCTTTCCTTTACACGAATCAGTCGTCCTGGTCCCTTTGCAGAAAAACAGCCCCAAAGCATGATGTTTCCACCCCCATGCTTCACAGTAGGTATGGTGTTCTTTGGATGCAACTCAGCATTCTTTGTCCTCCAAACACGACAAGTAGAGTTTTTACCAAAAAGTTCTATTTTGGTTTCGTATGACATTCTCCCAATCCTCTTCTGGATCATCCAAATGCACTCTAGAAAACTTCAGACGGGCCTGGACATGTACTGGCTTAAGCAGGGGGACACGTCTGGCACTGCATGATTTGAGTCACTGGCGGCGTAGTGTGTTACTGATGGTAGGCTTTGTTACTTTGGTCCCAGCTCTCTGCAGGTCATTCACTAGGTCCCCCCATGTGGTTCTGGGATTTTTGCTCACCGTTCTTGTGATCATTTTGACCCCACGGGGTGAGATCTTGCGTGGAGCCCCAGATCGAGGGAGATTATCAGTGGTCTTGTATGTCTTCCATTTCCTAATATTTGCTCCCACAGTTGATTTCTTCAAACCAAGCTGCTTACCTATTGCAGATTCAGTCTTCCCAGCCCGGTGCAGGTCTACAATTTTGTTTCTGGTGTCCTTTGACAGCTCTTTGGTCTTGGCCATAGTGGAGTTTGGAGTGTGACCGTTTGAGGTTGTGGACAGGTGTCTTTTATACTGATAACAAGTTCAAACAGGTGCCATTAATACAGGTAACAAGTGGAGGACAGAAGAGCCTCTTAAAGAAGAAGTTACAGGTCTGTGAGAGCCAGAAATCTTGCTTGTTTGTAGGTGACCAAATACTTATTTTCCACCATAATTTGCAAATAAATTCATTAAAAATCCTACAATGTGATTTTCTGGAATTTGTTTTCTCAATTTGTCTGTCATAGTTGACGTGTACCTATGATGAAAATTACAGGCCTCTCTCATCTTTTTAAGTGGGAGAACTTGCACAATTGGTGGCTGACTAAATACTTTTTTCCCCCACTGTACATACATACATACATACATACATCTACCTCCATCACTCCAGTATCCCTGCACATTGTTAATATGGTATTGGAACTGACCCTGTATATAGTATGGTATTGGCATTAAGCTACCAGCCTTTCTGAACAACACCTTATCATCTGAAGCTGGTGAAGACCATCACCAAGACCTGACAGATCTCCACATTAAGCTCCTGCCCAGCCTTTCGCTCTACATGGGTTGTTTCTGAGCTACAATATCTGGTGGTTTTGACCCATGGAGTTGCTGAACTAATGGCAAGTCAGTTTGTTTGGCTTGGCAGTTAGCTGGACTAATGGCAAGTCAGTTTGGCTTGGCAGTTAGCTGGACTAATGGCAAGTCAGTTTGGCTTGGCAGTTAGCTGGACTAATGGCAAGTCAGTTTGTTTGGCTTGGCAGTTAGCTGGACTAATGGCAAGACTCTACACACAAGCACGCACATAGAATCATAATTTATGCTGCTGTTACTCATTTTATCATATATCCTAGTCACCTGACCCCTATATATATATATATATATATACATACATACATACATACATCTACCTCCATCACTCCAGTATCCCTGCACATTGTTAATATGGTATTGGAACTGACCCTGTATATAGTATGGTATTGGAACTGACCCTGTATATAGTATGGTATTGGAACTGACCCTGTATATAGTATGGTATTGAACTGACAACCTGTATATAGTATGGTATTGAACTGACCCTGGAACTGACCCTGTATATAGTATGGTATTGAACTGACCCTGTATATAGTATGGTATTGAACTGACCCTGTATATAGTATGGTATTGAACTGACCCTGTATATAGTATGGTATTGAACTGACCCTGGTTATAGTATGGTATTGGACTGACCCTGTTATATAGTATGGTATTGAACTGACCCTGGAACTGACCCTGTATATAGTATGGTATTGAACTGACCCTGTATATAGTATGGTATTGGACTGACCCTGTATATAGTATGGTATTGGACTGACCCTGTATATAGTATGGTATTGGACTGACCCTGTATATAGTATGGTATTGGAACTGACCCTGTATATAGTATGGTATTGAACTGACCCTGGAACTGACCCTGTATATAGTATGGTATTGAACTGACCCTGGAACTGACCCTGTATATAGTATGGTATTGAACTGACCCTGTATATAGTTGGTATTGAACTGACCCTGTATATAGTATGGTATTGGAACTGACCCTGTATATAGTATGGTATTGGAACTGACCCTGTATATAGTATGGTATTGGAACTGACCCTGTATATAGTATGGTATTGGAACTGACCCTGGAACTGACCCTGTATATAGTATGGTATTGGAACTGACCCTGTATATAGTATGGTATTGAACTGACCCTGTATATAGTATGGTATTGAACTGACCCTGTATATAGTATGGTATTGGAACTGACCCTGTATATAGTATGGTATTGAACTGACACTGTATATAGTATGGTATTGAACTGACCCTGTATATAGTATGGTATTGAACTGACCCTGTATATAGTATGGTATTGGAACTGACCCTGTATATAGTATGGTATTGAACTGACCCTGTATATAGTATGGTATTGGAACTGACCCTGTAACTGACCCTGTATATAGTATGGTATTGAACTGACCCTGTATATAGTATGGTATTGAACTGACACTGTATATAGTATGGTATTGAACTGACCCTGGAACTGACCCTGTATATAGTATGGTATTGAACTGACCCTGGAACTGACCCTGTATATAGTATGGTATTGGAACTGACCCTGTATATAGTATGGTATTGAACTGACCCTGTATATAGTATGGTATTGGAACTGACCCTGTATATAGTATGGTATTGGAACTGACCCTGGAACTGACCCTGTATATAGTATGGTATTGGAACTGACCCTGTATATAGTATGGTATTGAACTGACCCTGTATATAGTATGGTATTGAACTGACCCTGTATATAGTATGGTATTGAACTGACCCTGGAACTGACCCTGTATATAGTATGGTATTGAACTGACCCTGTATATAGTATGGTATTGAACTGACCCTGGAACTGACCCTGTATATAGTATGGTATTGGCATTAAGCTACCAGCCTTTCTGAACAACACCTTATCATCTGAAGCTGGTGAAGACCATCACCAAGACCTGACAGATCTCCACATTAAGCTACTGCCCAGCCTTTCGCTCTACATGGGTTTTGTTTGTTTTTACTGCGTCGTTGAGATTCTCTTTGTAATGAAAAGCGGCGTATAAAATACATATTATTATATCAGGTTTAGTCCCGCAATCACCTGAAGTATGTTATATATATATATATATATATATATATATATATACACACAGTGAGGGAAAAAAGTATTTGATCCCCTGCTGATTTTGTACGTTTGCCCACTGACAAAGACATTATCAGTCTATAATTTTAATGGTAGGTTTATTTGAACAGTGAGAGACAGAATAACAAAAAAATCCAGAAAAACACATGTCAAAAATGTTAGAAATTGATTTGCATTTTAAATGAGGGAAATAAGTATTTGACCCCTCTGCAAAACATGACTTAGTACTTGGTGGCAAAACCCTTGTTGGCAATCACAGAGGTCAGACGTTTCTTGTAGTTGGCCACCAGGTTTGTACACATCTCAGGAGGGATTTTGTCCCACTCCTCTTTGCAGATCTTCTCCAAGTCATTAAGGTTTCGAGGCTGACGTTTGGCAACTCGAACCTTCAGCTCTCTCTACAGATATTCTATGGGATGAAGGTCTGGTGACTGGCTAGGCCACTCCAGGACCTGAATGTGCTTTTTCTTGAGCCACTCCTTTGTTGCCTTGGCCGTGTGTTTTGGGTCATTGTCATGCTGGAATACCAATCCACGACCCATTTTCAATGCCCTGGCTGAGGGAAGGAGGTTCTCACCCAAGATTTGACGGTACATGGCCCCGTCCATCGTCCCTTTGATGCGGTGAAGTTGTCCTGTCCCCTTAGCAGAAAAACACCACCAAAGCATAATGTTTCCACCTCCATGTTTGACGGTGGGGATGGTGTTCTTGGGGTCATAGGCAGCATTCCTCCTCCTCCAAACATGGCGAGTTGAGTTGATGCCAAAGAGCTCAATTTTGGTCTCATCTGACCACAACACTTGCACCCAGTTCTCCTCTGAATCATTCAGATGTTCATTGGCAAACTTCAGACGGGCCTGTATATGTGCTTTCTTGAGCAGGGGGACCTTGCGGGCGCTGCAGGATTTCAGTCCTTCACGGCGTAGTGTGTTACCAATTGTTTTCTTGGTGACTATGGTCCCAGCTGCCTTGAGATAATTGACAAGATCCTCCCGTGTAGTTCTGGGCTGATTCCTCACCGTTCTCATGAACATTGCAACTCCACGAGGTGAGATCATGCATGGAGCCCAAGGCCGAGGGAGATTGACAGTTCTTTTGTGTTTCTTCCATTTGCGAATAATCGCACCAACTGTTGTCACCTTCTCACCAAGCTGCTTGGCGATGGTCTTGTAGCCCATTCCAGCCTTGTGTAGGTCTACAATATTGTCCCTGACATCCTTGGAGAGCTCTTTGGTCTTGGCCATGGTGGAGAGTTTGGAATCCGATTGATTGATTGCTTCTGTGGACAGGTGTCTTTTATACAGGTAACAAACTGAGATTAGGAGCACTCCCTTTAAGAGTGTGCTCCTAATCTCAGCTCGTTACCTGTATAAAAAGACACCTGGGAGCCAGAAATCTTTCTGATTGAGAGGGGGTCAAATACTTATTTCCCTCATTAAAATGCAAATCAATTTATAACATTTTTGACATGCGTTTTTCTGGATTTTTTTGTTGTTTTTCTGTCTCTCACTGTTCAAATAAACCTACCATTAAAATTATAGACTGATAATTTCTTTGTCAGTGGGCAAACGTACAAAATCAGCAGGGGATCAAATACTTTTTTCCCCCTCACTGTATATAAAAATGTATATTTATAGAAGCGCTATATAAAATATTATTTCCTTGATTCCTTGCTCCTTCTCAAAACCCATTGGATGAGAACGTCAGAGGGGCAGGACCTCTGACCTTCTCACCCAATGGGTTTCGAGGAGGCGAGGCCGCGAATAATGAAGGAAATGCAATTGGGATTCTCCCAGAGAAACTGAGTGAGAAAAAAAAAAAAGAGTGAAAGAGCGTATCTCACTGTGCAGTGTGTGTGTGTGTGTATCCTTCTCACCGTGCAGTGCGATGGCCTCTCTGAAGGGCTGCAGGTCAGCCTCCACAGACGACCCGCTCTCCGTGGGCGGCGGCCTGCTGGGTGACATCACAGAGAGGGCGTGTCCGTGTCCGTGTTTGGGCGTCTGCGCATCGCGACGGGGGTTGCGCGGGGGCGGGGCCTTGCCACACAGAAAGCTGATGAGGTCCTCCCTCCTGATGTTTCTCCTCCTCTTCTTCACCCAGGCCAGCACGTCTTTATTACGGCGCTGGTACGCCCGCTGGATCCCCAGCTCATAGCTCCGCTGGTGGGACTCTACCGACTCTGTTAGGGGGGAGAGAGAGAGGGTGAGAGGATGGTACGCCCGCTGGATCCCCAGCTCATAGCTCCGCTGGTGGGACTCTACTGACTCTGTTAGGGGGGAGAGAGAGAGGGTGAGAGGATGGTACGCCCGCTGGATCCCCAGCTCATAGCTCCGCTGGTGGGACTCTACAGACTCTGTTAGGGGGGAGAGAGAGAGGGTGAGAGGCTGGTACGCCCGCTGGATCCCCAGCTCATAGCTCCGCTGGTGGGACTCTACTGACTCTGTTAGGGGGGAGAGAGAGAGGGTGAGAGGATGGTACGCCCGCTGGATCCCCAGCTCATAGCTCCGTTGGTGGGACTCTACCAACTCTGTTAGGGGGGAGAGAGGGTGAGAGGCTGGTAGCATTAGTCTCCAAGACATTTACATAATTACTTACTGTCTTAGTGTTAAAAGCAGGTAGCATTAGTCTCCAAAACATTTAGATAATGACTTACAGCGCTAATAGCAGGTAGCATTAGTCTCCAAAACATTTACATAATGTCTCACAGTGCTAATAGCAGGTAGCATTAGTCTCCAAAACATTTACATAATGACTTACAGCGCTAATAGCAGGTAGCATTAGTCTCCAGACATATACATAATGATTTACAGCGCTAATAGCAGGTAGCATTAGTCTGCAATACATTTACATAATGTCTGACAGTGCTAATAGCAGGTAGCATTAGTCTCCATGCATTTACATAATGACTTACAGTGCTAATAGCATGTAGCATTAGTCTCCAACACATTCACATAATGACTAATAGCTTTGAAACTGAGCTCAATAGAAACAACCCCAGCCCTTACCCTCACCTCATGCATACATAGTTGTATTCAATAGTGCACACCCTTAGAAAGCAGCTTGCAACAACAAAGAAAAATAAGCATTTGCTATTGGACAGGTTCCCCACAACGGCATTTATGCTTCCATTTCATGTCCTAGTGAACAGGACCCTGGTGATCTAGCTACAACACTGAGTATGGGTGTAGTTATGGAGGAGAGGGGAAGAGAGAGAGAGACAGAGAGGGGGTGAGAGAGAGAGAGTGAGAGAGACAGAGAGACAGACAGAGAGACAGACAGAGAGACAGACAGAGACAGAGAGCGAGAGAGAGGTTAGGGTGGTAGACCATGTTCTAGTTCACTGAGTGTCCCCCGGGAAATCATTTTAGCAGCAGCGAGTTCATAGGCTGATGAAACACAGACACACAACACAGTCTCACACAGCCAAGACAAAAACACACAATAAAGAAGTTAAAAATCAGCATTTGTTACCTTTGTAGAGGTTGGTGACGGCAGTAGCTGCATTCTGGAAGGGAACCCAGAGAGACAGCCCCTGCTGTTGACAAACTCTGTCTGAAAACACAAACAGGAAATGTTTACAACCGGCGCAACATGACATTCACCATACCATGTTTATGTGTCTAACATACATCATCTTCTAAGTAGACTGCAACTCTGCCCGGCCAGCGTAACTTTGAATAGACAACTTTCTATACTTGACCCTTCAACTTGCTTCAGCTTGGCTAAGCAACGCCATTTTGTCTGACTGAGCTGCATGAGACTGACTTCACTGTGTTTATATGCGAAGACCAAACCTATGGCAAAGAAAGCAGCGACAGTTATCTAGCTAGCTGAACACTGGCTTGGGACACAACGGGCAAAACTAATACAGCTATGACGGCATAGTGGTTGTTTTACTAAAGATTTCAATGTAGAACGTTGTGATGACTGGTAGACTAACGTTAGCTAGCTAGAAATAACAATTTTTTATAGCATCTCAGATAGCTAACATTAGTCATAATCCCATCGCCATTTTGTCCTAGTAACGTTGTCAGCGTTATTATAAATTCACCTCATCGTTAAAATGGATTGGCCAGACCAGGTGAATAGTCAAGTGTTGTAATGTGTCAAGCGGACGGAGTGTCAGACAACAGAAACGGCTTGGTCGTTAATAGCAAATAGTTGTTTTCAACCGAAAAACTCCTCCCTGCGCTTCGCCATTTTGTTTAGCTAACGGCGTTACGACCAGACCGCTAGTTAACTCGAGACACAAATTGGCGAAACTCGACATAATACATTTTGAACAAAGACATGTAAATCACTTGAACGATGTACATAGGTCAAAATAGATTTAAAAAAGTTGTAGCTATGCTATCTTTAGTTAGCTCCGAGCTAGCTACAGTACTGTTACTGGCAAGTTCCTGACATGAGCGAACGTAAACTAGCTAGCTAAGTTAGCAGACAGTTAACGTCGACAAGCTAGCAGGGGTTAAGATGACAAATTATTATTAGCCAATGTTAGTTAATTTCATATTAACTACATTTCTAACAGACTACAAGTATGGTCTGCGATTTTAAAATGGTTGCCAACAAAAACAGCGAGCTAGCTAGCGTTAATATCCTTTGTTGCCTTGCCACTCGAGTCTATCTGATAGCTGCCAATTAGCTAAAAAAAAGCTATCCAAGTTAGCTAAATGCTAGCTAGTTGTTAGCGAAGTATTCGGACCTTTGTATAGCTGTGCGACCGCAGTAGCGGAATTTTGGAAGAGGTGCCATAGTTTCTGCCGACTTTGCTCCGACTCGTCCTCGCTTGGCTCCTCTTGCTCCGCCTCGGCCAAACACTGCCGCTCCCATTTGGAGAACCAATGTTCGGGACCGTGCTCCTGGATCTCCACTTCGCCCTCCTCCTTCTTCGCCTCCATAATAATCGCAATTAAGCGTCTATTCCCCGTTACGGTTTTATTATAAGTCGCCCCGTTTTTTTTTTCTTCCCTTATAGACGCGAATACTAATCGGATGCTTGGTAAATTCGCCGTAGAAACGCTAAAAAAAAACAAACAGCTGTTGTTCTAGCTAGATCCGCATTGTGAAAACATTGGGTGGCTAACGCTAGCTAGCTAGTCGTCATCGCACCCGGTTCTCAACAAACTGAAGGAGTCGTCGACGGAGAATTTCTTTAAAAAACATGTAACGTGCTTGTTAACAAACCCCGCCTATTTCTCACAATGCTTCATAACGATTGGGCCGCAGTGGTGCTTTGGGCGTTGTTCTCCGAATTTTCCTCAAATCTTCATTGGATGTGGGAAGAGGACGTCATAGAACAACAACGTTGATCCCTGCCCCTGACTGTCATACCGTGTCTGTCCAGAGGGTCATGGGCTATCAGGATCCTTGGGATGTCCCTACCCCATACAAGTTGACGTTTAAAATGGTTAAGGTTAAGGTTAGGTAAGGGTTAAGGTAGGGGTTAGGGTTTAGGGTAGGGAGGTCCCAAGCAACCCGGATAACTGATATTATTTAGCCTCAAACTCTGGCCTACAGTCAGAAAGTAGCCCAATAATAAAAAAATGGGCCCCTTTAGTAGACCAGCCAACCTTTATTTGTTTTTCTTGTTACGGGCTGTCATCCATGCTAGATCAAACAATAATGTTAGATCCATAAAGTTAGGCCGGATAACAGCTTACATTTAGATTTTTAAGGCACTTTTAAAGGGGTTTCAAAGGTCAAATCTGGTTAAAATGGCCATAATGGAAATAGTCATCAGGAATTCCAAGTATATATATTATTATTATATACATATATTATTATTATTATGATATACATATATACATAATTTTTTCTTTACATTCAGTGAATATGGCTGAAATCGATAATTACCTAAAAAATGTCAACTTGTCTGGATAACACTTGCCACCTTAGTTCCAAAATCTCTGCCCCAGAATGTCAGATCCTCACAAGGTCATGTGCTTGTTCAGAAGTGTCTTCCTGAGTAGCTAGAGGGAATCTACACCAAAATGTTGGGAAATATATATTATTTCTGTTTATATGCATGACTTATAAGAATTATGGCAAAAGTAACTATACATATGCTTATTCCATACAAGCGGTAGATCTGTTCTATGTGTGCTATTTCTATGCTTCCCTTAAGTTTTGTTTTGGAGAGTCCCACGGAGAGTTACCACAAGTCACAAAGAAAACTGCAGCTGCCTCCACTATTCCAGCACCATTTCAACTTCAACATTTCAACATCATCAAATCACCTCTGCTTAGTCTAATACAGTGACAACTAAGATACCAAAAACCATTTAGTCCAATCAACGTAAGCTAAATATGATGTGGCTGTCCATGGTACTGATTTCTGTGAGCGTGCAAGTAGAAAAAAAACGTGTTGACTCACCCTACTTGTAGACAAACGCCATCCTCCTCTCTTTCATTGTACTAGTCATACAGTACAAGCTTTTAGTTTTTGTTGTCCTAGGCTACCTGGCTAAAATGTTTTCTCGCTAGCTAGCCTAACTTCCTTTCATGGGCAACGATGAGCCAGGCTAGTTAACATTAGCCTTCTACATCTAGCTACATGTTGAACTTCCATCCTCTTAGGCCAGGGGCACAACGTCTGAATTAAGTAACACCACAAATACAAATCCCTATCTCCATCCACAGCTATTTTAGGAAAGGGACGATTTTATCTAGCTAGCTAGCTAGCCACCGGAGAACAACACAACAAAATGCAACAATTCAAGTTTTTTTTCTGTAAATTACGTGTGCTTTTGATGTGATGTGATTGGGGTGAAGCCAAATTCAAACTGGCTTCCCTTGAAACTTTTTTTTTTTGTTGGGGGGGGGGGGGGGGGGTGTGCCAGGACCATTCACAGTTGAGTCTACTCAGTTTAGCTCAAAGCTGATGGACTATTCTTTAGCACAAAAAAAAAAAGTATCAAGGGAAGCCAAGTGCTCTCCTGGCTTCCCTTGCGTTCAATGCTACGGGCGGCAACAATGTCATACTCTTTTTGACCAGACAGCATCAGATAGATGGGCCTACACATACGGAGACAGAGGGGGCGCTGTTTCGCTCACTGGGATGCTTTCTCCGGTGAGATACATTCAGCCTCTTTACGAATCGAAGGAAAATGATGAAGCATAGAAATATAAAGATCAATTATTTTATGTTTTTTTTCTCAGTCCATTTTTTTGGGGAAGCCAGGCTTCCCTTGGCACCCATGAATACGCACCACTGGGTACAATGGTTCTCTACACTACACTTGGTTCTCTACACTACACTTGGTTCTCTACACTACACTTGGTTCTCTACACTACACTTGGTTCTCTACACTACACTTGGTTCTCTACACTTGCTTGTTTTGTCACATAAACAGAAATTAAGCGAACGATTATAATGTTTAGCTAACAGGATATGGCGGAGGGATTTCTGCATAGTCCATCTTTAAATAGTCAGTTTATCTTGATCTGTTCAGTACATTTTAGGCAGAATCTGTGACTATCCTATTTGGCTGTTTGTACATTTTACCCCTTTAAAATGACATTACAGTTTCAATATCTCTGTCCCGGAAAAGTAAGATTCTTACGAGGTGAAGTTCTCCCACAGTTTAGTCAGAGGGTCAAGGTCATCTGAGAAGGGTCCTTGATGGTGCTACTCCTGAGTGGCGCAGTGGTCTAAGGCACTGCATCGCAGTGCTATCTGTGCCACTAGAGATCCTGGTTCGAATCCAGGCTCTGTCGCAGCCGGCCGCGACCGGGAGACTCAGGGGCGGCGCACAATTGGCCCAGCGTCGTCCAGGGTAGGGGAGGGAATGGCCGGCAGGGATGTAGCTCAGTTGATAGAGCATGGCGTTTGCAACACCAGGGTTGTGGGTTCGATTCCCACGGGGGCCAGTATAAAAAAATATGTATTCACTAACTGTAAGTCGCTCTGGATAAGAGCGTCTGCTAAATGACTAAAATGTAAATGTAAATGTGCTATAGAACACACCTGTGTAATGATCATGCTGTTTAATCAGCTTCTTGATATGCCATTATATGATGGATTATCTTGACAAAGGAGACATGTTCACTAACAGGGATGTAAACAAATTTGTGCACAAAATTTGAGAGAAATAAGCTTTTTGTTCGTATGGAACATTTCTGGAATATTTTATTTCAGCTCGTGGAAACACTTTACATGTTGCGTTTATATTTTTTGTTCAGTGTAGTTTAATGACCAGAGACACATCTTCAAAGGCACAGTATTTATTTATTCAGAGTGGTATATGCATTCACACAGTCTTGTTTTATAGGATCCCTTCCCACTATATGATTGAGCACGGCGCTTGTAACGCCAGGGTAGTGGGTTCGATCCCCGGGACCACCCATACGTAAAAATGTATGCACGCATGACTGTAAGTCGCTTTGGATAAAAGCGTCTGCTAAATGGCATATTATTATTGATATGTCAAGTGATAAAATCCCAAGCTATTAATGAAAGGTTTATGGAAAAACTGCACTTGTCCTCATGTGAAAATGACAGTTAATTAAATATTCTACAACTGTAATGTCATCAATCAAATCAAACTTGACTTATGTAGCACATTTCTTACAACAAATGCATTTCAAGGTGTTCAGAGTCATGCACTGAAAGGCATGTGGCACTTAACATCCTTCCTGTTGGCAGGTCTCTCTAGGTGACCAGGGAGTTCTCTCTACCACGTGCGAATGCATCGGTGGAGCTCACAAGTGTAGCCATGCAGTCTATTTTGGCGGTTTCACAACATCGGCTGTATGGATGTGGAATGAGAGTGGAGGGAAGCCAGCCGTGGCCCAACCAGGTGCAGTCCGTGGAGGACCTGTACCCGGCTGAAGACTACAACCCTCTGTCCCCGAGAGCCCACAGAGAAGGATCTTCAGTGGCTAAGGAACTCTCTCAGGGGGCAGGTTCAGTGGAATGGCCATGTCTCCATGGCTACCCTCCCTGTCATCGGACCGAAGCAATGAAATGACAGGCAAGATCAAGGCAACACGAACAAGAAATAAATAAGATGGAAGTGGAGAGATGGAGACGAGACACAACTTATGAATGCAAATGTCTGTACCAGACGCTGTTAAAAAAACAAGGGCATCCTGGCGTGGCGTGGCGCTGTGGCGCTGGAGCAGCAGGAGGCTATATACGGCAGGCAACAGTTGGACAGCGCACCAACCCCAACTGGCACACCATGAGGAGAGGGAGGCTGACGGCCGGCAATTATGGAGCAGTGGTTAGGGCCAAGCGCGTTACTCCAGCGCTGCTAAAACAAAAAAAAAAAGGTCGTTGGGTGTTGTCTGTAAAGTGGGGCCACAGGTTAACGAAGAGGAGGTCATCAAGGCATTCAAAAATGGCTACAGGGATGGATGTGCAGGAGTCAGGGCTTTGGGTCACAGGGGTCTGGGATCCTGGGTGCCTCACTGGATGGTCTGGTGGGCACCACAGCAGTGGTGGAGGTCAAGGGTCCCTATGGTGCAATGGACCTTAACCGTTGGAAGAGGCAGTGAAGTCAAAGGATTTCTATACCATGGAAGAGGCAGTGAAGTCAAAGGATTTCTATACCATGGAAGAGGCAGTGAAGTCAAAGGATTTCTATTTCCAAGAGGAAGGAGGGTCTTACCGCCTCCTTGAAGGCCATCCTTACTGGCACCAGGTCAAAGGGCAGCTCCTCATCACCGGAAGGGACACAGGCTTCTTCGTTGTCGTGGACCACCAAAGCCTCCATCCCCATCCAGCCCTGATGACCTCTGACCTCTGACCTCTGACCTCTGGCAGACTCATGTTGCTGGACTAGAGGAGTTTTTCAAGGACCACATGCTCCCAAAGTTGGCACTGCAACAGTGAACATCATAATTTTTTTTTTTTTTTTAAAGAACCATATACAAACACGTTTTCCTCCACTACATCAAAAGAACACTTAAGTACATGCACTTCTGTCCTTGAAACATTTAATTCCATTCATTCCTACGGAGGACTGCTCCTGCTGGGGAGAGCCAATATGGCCGACCGGTGGCTTCAAAGCCTCTCAATGGCCAATACATAGCATCAGCAATCCAGGGTTTATATACGTCGTCATTGGTGAAGACAGGTGTCATCTCACGTGCTGCCGTGCTCTCCTGTTGTCAAGGCACCTCATTGTCAAGGCCGGGATTCAAAGTTCACTATCCTG